TTAAATTTTTATAATTATAAATTAAATTATAATAATCTTAAGAAAACGTATTATTACAAAACGTAATAACTTATATTATTACATATTATAAATGTTGGAATAAGATACACGGTTCACGAAACGCGATTCGATCTATAAAATAAAATAAAAAACGTATCACGAGTAAATTTACAATTGTATCAAATCGTCCGATAAATTTTGAATATCGAGATACACGCTTTCCCGTATAATCTCGTCCAGGTTATTCAAATTATTATTCGAAACGAAATTGAAACCGTTCGATTCGAAATTATTCATTTCCATTCCCTGCGTGTTATTATAATTATGCGTCAATCCGACGGCGAAAACGTTGTTGGCACACTCGTAATCGTAATTCCGTAAAGACGGATCACTAAAGGCATACTGCTCGTCCCATTGTTGAGAATATTGACGATAGCCAATGTTCTCTTCCCCCTCCTGTCCCCTATGAACATTGAAGAAATTCGATTGGCCGGTCGGTAATTGATACTGGCCGAATTGCTGGCAATACTGTTGCGCTATTAAATTCGCGTGGCCGCCGCACGAATTTGTACGCATCATTTGATCGACGTTTTGCGCAACGTGCGACGTTGCAACGTTGCCGCTCCTATGATTATTAACCAAAGCCGCGTTGTTACGCTGCTCCACGACGCTCTGTATATATTCCTTCTGCGCACAATTTTTCACGGAATTATCGGCGGTGGGGGGAGTTGTTACTTGCACCGGTGAATCGCCTGCGTTCTGTCCACTCGCTTCTCCGTTTCGTTGAAGAGAATTGATCTGCCTCGTTTGTTGTTGCTCCTTCTTGTACTTCATGCGCCGATTTTGAAACCAAATCTTGATCTGGCGCTCGGTCAGGGACAACGCGATCGCCAATTCTATCCTGCGCGGCCGGCACAGGTATTTCGTCACCGTGAACTCCTTCTCGAGCTCCACCAATTGGACGCTGGTGTACGCCGTGCGAGACCGTTTCGACTTCTTTTGATTTCCACCTGAAATTGCGCACGCGCGCGCGCGTGTGATATTTATTTTTCGATGAATCTTTGAAATAATTCCACTTTGGTCCACGAATATGCGATTGATTCGATTTTAGAAAAGTTTAGAAAGAAGAAAAATGACGATGTTTCGGTTTGAAAGAATCTTGGTGAAGGAAGATGGGTAAGAAGGAAAGGTGTCAAGGGGTCGCCCAGTGGGGAGACTCGTCGGCTCACGAGGTGGCCGACGTTACCTGCTGTGCAGCTCAAAGCCCGACCACTGAAACCGTGTTATTGGATTAAATTGGCTTAGCTTGGTCGTGTTACGGGCAAATACGATTCGTCAACGACGCTCGTATCGAACAGAGAGAGAGAGAGAAAGAGAGAAAGAGAGAGAAGAGGGAGTTAGTCGCGTGCGACAATTTGTCGATCGATGATTGATGTACGACGCCGTTCATCGCAATCTGATTCTGTCCGAGGCGAAAAATAGAAACGATCGCTACCCTGAAAATTGTTATTTCAAAGATATATACTTTGTCTCGAATGTTGAATGTTAATTTGAGTAGTCTTATTTAATCGAATGAACAAGATCGAATTTCGAAAAATAAATATATATATAGAGCGACGATAGGAAGGGAATGAGATAGAAGACACACGATATTATTTTTGAAAACGAATATTCATGTGACTTTTTTCCATCTAATGATCACTTGATCTATGTAATTTAATCAATGTTATCTTATGATGGACAAGTTGAATTCGAAAAATGAACATATAGAGCGATAGTAGGAAGGGAATGAGATAGAAGAGAGAGAAAGAAGATACACGGTATTCAAAGTTTATTGTATTTGAGAAATACGAATTATAAATAAATTTATTATTTTTGAAGACGAATTCGTACAACATATATATAACTCAATGGCCTATATAAAACTCATTTAATCAATATATTTATATATGGACAAGTATTAATAATGGACAAATTGAATTCGAAAAATGAATATATATAGAACGATAGTACGAGAATGAGATAGAAGAGAGGAAAAGAAGAAAAAACACGGTATTTGTACACTTTCTCATATATTTTTCTCCACCTAGATGATAACTCAACCTATTGCGACACGCGAGCTGCGTGATTCCTCAGGTATTTCAAGATATATCGACGCCCCGAGGGGGAATAAAAGTAAACGTTATCTTGGAAAATGGACGCTGAATTTTCACATTCTGATCGAACTACGAAAAATGATAAGGGACTTATCTAAGATCCATCGATGACCTCGTTGATAAGCTAATTTCATCGAAATTCTTAGAACATTCTTAGATGTAGAAATACAGATATGAATGATTGGAAACGAAAGATTTTTCGATACGAAGAATAGTTCGGTCGAAAAATAAAGAAAGAAAAAAAAAAAAGAAAAAAAAAAAAGGAAATCGTTTAATTTAAAAAAACGCGTTGACGTGAGAAATATGAATATATGTATATCATTTCTTAATTATTCAAGGAAGATCGATCTGAAAAATATTCTCTTCTTCCAAGAGATGATGAAACGACGATCGAACCGATTGAAGCGCATATCGCTGCCGATAAACGTGTCACCACTGACCCAAGCAGTCCATCATCGGATGACTCTTGTTTTATGTAAACCTGTGTGTAGAGCATATCGACGAGCAAACGGGGGCGAGAGCGCCGTTTTATAATCCCTCGAGACTAAAGTCTCCTAAATGGGCAGCTCGTTAATCAAACTTGATTCAATGATGTCTACGGGGACGTCTATTTGCCTAGAATCCGTGACGGCGATGGACGTTCTTGTTTAACGTTGTGCCGTGTAATTTTATCCCATCGGATAAAAATACGTTCGCGTGATTTCCTTCTTCCCCTCCTCTTTTTTCTTTTCGTATTCTAATTCTCTGAATCTTTGCTTCAGTTTTTTTTCTTTTCTTTTTTTTTGCAAATTGGATTCAAATAATCTTTTCTTTAAAAAAGTATGGAATTTGAAAATAACGAAGAATAAAGAAGTATAAGAAAAGTTAAAATATTCAATTAGTTCTTTTCAAAATTAATCGATCGAACAGAAGAAAAAACAAAGAAGAAATTAATTTCATAATTTTCTAAATTTTTGCTCCAATTTTTTTTTTTGAATCAATTTAAAAATAATCAAGAATAAAGAAATATAAGAAAAGTTAAAATAATATCCATTCAGTTTTTCCAAAATAAATCGATCGAATAAAAGAAAAAGAAACAAAGAACAGATAATCATATAATTTTTTAAATCTTTTGCTCCAATCTAATTTCGGATTGAATAATCGTTTTTAATTTCAAAGTATGGAATGTTAACTCAAAAATAACCAAGAATAAAAAATATAAGAAAGATTAAAATATTCACTCAATTTTTCCAAAATTAATCGATCGAACAGAAGAAGAAATAAAGAACAAATAATCTTATAATTTTCTAAATTTTTGTTTGAATTTTTTTTTGAATCATCAAGAAAGGAAATATAAGGAAATATAAGAAAGATATAAAATTGGATATTAAAATATTCAATTTTCCAAAATAAATCGATTCTAAAATAGTAAAATATAAAATAATTCTCTAAATTTTTGCTTCAATTTGTTTGTAAATCATCAACTCGAAAATAAAGAATAAAGAAGAATAAGAATAAGAATAAAGAAGAATAAAGAAATATAAGAAAGATTAAAATACTCAATTTTTTCAAAATTAAAAGAAGAAACAAAGAACAAATAATTTTCTAATTCTCTAAATCTTTCCAATTTTTTTTTTTTGTAATTTTTTAAATAATCTTTTCTAATATTCAAAATATAGATCATCAACTCGAAAATAACCAAGAATAAAGAAATATAAGAAACGTTAAAATATCCATTCAATTTTCCAAAATAAATCAAACAGAAGAAGAAACAAAGAAGAAATTAATTTCATAATTCTCTAAATTTTTGCTTCAATTTTTTTTCAATTTACAAATTAAATAATCTTCCCTGATATTCAAAATATGAAACATCAACTCGAAAATAACCAAAAAATATAAGAAACGTTAAAATATCCATTCAATTTTCCAAAATAAATCAAACAGAAGAAGAAACAAAGAAGAAATTAATTTCATAATTCTCTAAATTTTTGCTTCAATTTTTTTTCAATTTACAAATAATCTTCCCTGATATTCAAAATATGAAACATCAACTCGAAAATAACCAAGAATAAAATATAAAGAAAAGTTAAAATATCAATCTTTCCAAAATCTTTTATTCCGATCCAAGTTGGATTTACAAATAACTCCTTTCTAACGTTCAAAGTACGGAACGTCAACTAAAAAAAAAAATAAGAATGAAGAAACAGAGGGAAGAAGAAACAGAAAGCGAAGAGGGAAAAATGAAATTGAGTATAAATATACCTTGAGAAATATACGCCTGTTGAGAAGTTGATGATCCTTTACGCTCTTGAACCCCATTTTGTTGTTGCTCCGCCATTACTTGTAGATGATCGTGCACCGGTCTCTGCATCTCCCCTCGTAAATTCTACATCGATACACGCGATTAATCATTCATGTTCGTCATTATCCCCGTTATAAAATTATTATTACACGAGTCGAATAATGATAATAATCACCGTTGACCCATCCACGTTGTTGGCCATGTTGTTGTGCCCATTCCCAAAGTTGGACGCGACGATATCCCCGCTTTGAAACACGTTCCAATTCTCGGGCGACATGGAGGATTGCTCGCTTATAGGCGAGATCGGCAAGTAACAGGTCTCCACGTTTTTCACCATCATCTCGATTTCTCAAAAATTTGTCAAATTCGTCTTTGCTGCCAAGAAAGTGGTAAAATTCCTTTCCGCTCGACTCGATTCTTGCTCCTCGACTCCTTGGCGAGAACAACTGAAGTTTACGGCCATTTCTTCCCGTAATTTGTACCGAATTCGGGCCCAGCGTCGACCAATCGCGTCGTCCCGCCTATATACCTACCCCTTTCGAACGGATTACCACCGCTGGATTATCGGAAGATCGGGCCCAATAGCTTCTCTTCTCTCTCATCCCCACCCCCGCTCCATGATAAGAAGGAAGGTCGAAAGTGGGGTTTTCTTCTAAATATATATATATATATATATATGTGTGTGTTTCAAACTTTTTCTCTATTATAATATATTATATTTAACGGTTTTCTTTTTTTTTAAATTGGGCATGGAAGAAGAACTCGAATAGACGGTGGATAAGAAAGTTTCTACGAATTTTTCATCGAGAATAATAAGATTTATTCGAGTTGTGGTTCAATTGATTTTTATGCTCCATTTTATCTTTGTCCCATAATCATCGGAGTGATTGGTGAATATCCGATATAAATTAAAAATCATTCCATTTATTCTATTCCGATTGGGGAGGGAAGGGAGGGTGAAATCCCTCCATCAGAGAACATTCGAAATCGGTTCCAAACCGAGAAATTGATCAGCGTCATCCCTCCAGGCAACATCTTCTCTCTTTTTCTCTCCAACCCCTCCCCCTATCCACCTTTCTTCTCTCCCTCCTCCAAGGAGGAGAGCTGTCTGCAGCTTTTCCAACCCTCGATCCAACCTCGTGCCACCCACCCACGCCTTCCATTCTTCCTCCTCCTCCTCCTCCTCCTCCTCCTCTCTTTTTCCGCG